GTATATATATATATATATATATATATATATATATATATATAATGATATAAGCATTATGGTAGAATTGCCATTGTCCATCCTAGTTGTCAACTTGATGTCAGAAGAGATAATGCCTCTCGTAATAGCACCCAAATGTGTTGAGGATATCCAATCTACCAGAAAAAATCAAAATGCTGATGTTAAACTAAATTAAGGGGTAAGGAGTTAAGTGCTTACACCCACATATCAACTCCTACTGCCTTTCACTGTTGTGGGAACCCTTAGCATTCTTAAAGTGCATATGAAACCACCCTAAAACTGACTGCAGACAGTGAAAGGCAGTAGGAGTTGAGGCGTTGTGGGTGTAAGCACTCGGCTCCATACCCTTAATTGATTTTCCATGACAGCTGATTGGTTTAATAGTGTCTGGATTTGTCTGGACATTTGGGTGCCATTACCACAGACATTATCTGCTATACTTCTTTCATATTAAGTTCATTATTATTTTATCGTGCTAATTTAATCACCCATTAATAATTAATGTAACTAATATTATTAAAGCTGTATATACTCGGCTGCATTACTGAAGGCAAGCAAAGGAATTCGGCGGAAGTGACATCCCTAAGTAACTCTTCAAGCTTTGGTATAAAGAGTGGTTTGATTTCCTACTGCCAAACTAATATGACAGTTACTTGTTTTATACAACTTTAAACACGGTTTCTCATATTGTATAAGCCGAGGATTGTAGTTTTGAGCTGTTTGAGCTTTTATTGGACTAATTAGATAAATGGAGGTGAATGTTACCATGGTATTACACTGCATATCTGTATCACTTGATTAACTGACATCGTTTTTATCTCCATCTAATACGAGATTGGTGATTTGGATATCAGTGTGCACGATACTGTGAGGATCATTTACAGTTACTTACAGTAGCTTCTTTTATCTATAGATTTGATATTATGATTGGGACAAGTAGTTTTTAAACTCCCGTAAAACAAGTAGTTTTCAAATATTTTATTGTTCTCATTACAGTATTTTCAGTACAATTTTTTGTGAGACAAGTAACTTCTGTGTTAGTAAATAAAACCACTTCTTGGATTAACTCAATGTTTGTTTGTATAAATGTTTAGAATTTTTTTTATGTCATTCTAGTATAATTTGTAATTTATACAAAATTCAATAAAATGTTTTATTTCTAAGTATCATGTATGACCATAGTCTGTATTGTGGTTTACTAATCCATAATATTTCGTAGGTCCTTATCTCCCTTGTTTGATAATCCTAAACTTGACAAAGACCTTAGGGCAATGGTGATAGAAAACTTTGGTGAATTTTGTTCTGTTAGTGATGGTGAGTAGTATTCCTTTCTTATTTATGATAAAATGTGGCTATAAAAACCTAAAAAAAGAAAACATTTCAAAGGTGATAAACAATTGTGTTAGCTCGTCAAGTTGTATTTATAAGTTTGAGGAAAATAACAACAACAAAATGCAAAAGGTAATTAAAAATTTTATTTACACTAAATTTTAAAAATGGGACAGACCAATACATGAATTTGCTTTTAATAGTATATATATATACACAAAGCTATAAGGAAGTTTAGTCTACTACTAAAAACGATTTAAAATGTTTGAACTATATATTATAGATTTACACATATTCTGTGCACATTGAATTTGAGTTCTCTTTTCAACGATAACTGTTAATAAACTTCCCAGTTTTCAGAAATCTCTTTACAGATATCACTTTAGATATGAATATGTAGGATATATTTCTGTATAATTTTACTTAAGAGGTCTGCACTAGTTTACAAAGATCCTATATTTATGGAAGGAAGAAGGTAGTTTAACATTAATCTGTGTTACACAAAGTATTATTATTGTTCAAAATAATGGAATTAAAATTTACAGATTACCTGACAACCAAAAAGGCTACTAAAAATATCTACATAATTATTCACATTTTCTAGCAATGAAAGAAACTTGGACTCTATGACAATTGTCTTGGCACCAAAAAAAACTGGTTAGATAGATCTCACAGACACAAGCTGTATCTCCTTAACCAGATTTTCTGGTACAGAAAGAAACTGGTTAGATAGATCTCACAGACACAAGCTGTATCTCCTTAACCAGATTTTCTGGTACCAAAAGAAACTGGTTGGATATATTCACAAACAGAAGTTTTTTTTTGCTAAAGATAGTAATATACATGTTGTTGTATGTTCATAGTCATGTGATGTACAGCAAATCAACCCACATTAGAGGTAATGCACCAGTTGGATATCATCGGTGCAGTTAAACGTTCCAAGTAAGGTTTAATACCCTACCATCAATCTGGGCATTTGTCTAAAGTTTATAGCAAAAGAAAAATGTAAAAAATTGGGTAGCATTACTAACGTTTTGTAATCAACCCACAATGTTATATGCAATTAATGCTGTCTGAAAGCCTCACAACGGTTTACAAAATTAAAAATCATTATTTGTATGAAACGTGTGGTTTAACATTAACACAAAATACTTAGAATTGGGTACATTTCTAACTTGCATTGAAAGTTTTGTGTCGTTCTCCGTCACATGAGAACGTGTGAGTTTTGCTAAATAATACTTGTAATTGCAGGTTAGGGTTAGGACTTGTGGTACTTTTTGGTGATATGTAATTGTGTTTTCATGATGTATCTGATGAATGTTTCAATTTTTTTTAAAGTAAAACCAGAAGAACCTCTCCAGCCTAGAGAATCTGAAGTAGTGATAATTGACGGGAATCACACTGGTAATTTGAATAATTCAGAAAATGAGGCTCAGTTTAGCGAAGATGAAGATGATATACCTTTAGGTAAGTGTTTCAAATATTTCAAGACATGGTTAATATATTCTTCTACTTAACTTAGGTTATTAACCACAAGTATGCAGTTACTACTTAACTTAGGTTATTAACCACAAGTATGTAGTTACTACTTAACTTAGGTTATTAACCACAAGTATGCAGTACTATTTAACATAAACCACAAGTATTCAGTTATACTCAACCTAAGTTATAACTCATAAGTATGTAGTTACAACTTAGCCTAGGTTATAACCCACAAGTATGCAGTTACAACTTAGTCTAGGTTATAACCCATAAGTATGTAGTTACAACTTAGCCTAGGTTATAACCCACAAGTATGCAGTTACTATTTGAGCTTGTTCATAAGCCACACACATGCAGTTACCATCATATCTAAGAAAAAACATAAGCACACAGCTCAAATTAAATGTATATTATAACAACATAAATATACAGCTACAATTACATCAGCATTATAACTTTTAAAAAATAACCACTTATGTTTAGTAAAGAAAAATGTAACTACATACTTGTGGTTAATAACCTAAGTTAAGTAGTAACTAGCATACTTGTGGTTAATAACCTAAGTTAAGTAGTAACTACATACTTGTGGTTAATAACCTAAGTTAAGTAGTAACTGCATACTTGTGGTTAATAACCTAAGTTAAGTAGTAACTGCATACTTGTGGTTAATAACCTAAGTTAAGTGGTAACTACATACTTGTCGTTTATGTTAAGTTGTACTTCATGTTAAATTGTGTTAAGTATTTAAGTTTTTATTATTTTTCAAAAAGAAAGTAAACTTTACAGCAGAATAAACTTCATTTTTAGCTGCAAAGTAAAGTTTCACAATCTGATGATGTATTCAGCAAAAGAGAAACTTGTACTAACTTTTAGTCTCAATGACATTATGATACAGCTGTTTCTTTAAGACTGTGTTGAATCATGAAACAGTATCTCTTGGAGATTGAATGCTTAAATAAAGGTGTGAACTTAAGTTTAGTTTTACGAGATGGTATTTAGTTTAGTTCACTTTTGTTGTAGATTAATAATTTTTTAAAGTCTAGTCCATCAGATTAAAACTGTAAAACGCAGTTGGCTTTGTAAAAATTTTTTTTTTTTCAGATGATTATTTTTATTTAGATTATTATAGTCATTGCCAGTAAGATTTTCAGTTTGGATATTATGTCTTTTAAAATATGTAAACATTCATTACTTCAAGACCTTCCAAAAGTATATCTCCAGACAAGAAAAATTTAACCCAAGTCTTCAAAAATGTCTCTGTAATTACTTTTATCTTAAAATCCAGCAAGAAACAAGTAATAGGAATTTTTTTGCGTGTATTATTTGTATCTAGACAAGTTAAGAGTTCGAGATATCAAGTTTCGGCCCATTAAAGAAACATCCAAAGTAGAACAAATGGATATCGGTGAATATATAGACCAGCTTTCGGGGGACATTAAGAAATGGGTAATAAACCTCAAAAACGAGAAGTAAGTCCTTGTCGATGTTTCCAGTTTGTTATGAGAAAATGTTTTGAATTATTATGAATTGTATCTACAAGCAAAGAAAGTGAGTTTTTTACAATGACAAACAATGTATTTTGTGGTTTAATTATCAAAGGAAGTTTTATGTTTACTATAGTAACAAATGCATGATCCAAAGAGTTACCGATAGTTTCTTGCTTTGAAGTGAAGTTATTCATGCTTTTCCACATTCTAAATAATTCTTAAGTTTTTACTTTGTATTTAAAAATATCATGAGTTACAAGAAATTCTGGTTTGAAAATCCATGAAATGTAAATGTTTGTTGTGCCTTAATATTAAAAAACGCCTTTTTTTTTTCATTCACTTATTTTCAATAGGGTCTGTGAAACAAGATGTGAAATGGTAGAAAAGTTGCTTCAGGCCATCTTACAAGGAGTGAGTAGCATAATATTAGGGTGAAAATATGGAACATGGTTTATCAAGTGAAAGCTTGTGAGATTTCATTTTAGGCTTATGTTACTTGTGGTAATAAAAAAATAATATAATACTGATTACAAAAATGTTCTGACCTATAAAACATGTTAATGTGGGGGTAATACACCGATTATTATTGTGTTTTTATTTATTATTTACTTGTATGTTTAAATGTTAACTCCAGACTTTGACATTTGTCAGATGTTTGACTAATGCTTATATATTTTAAACTGGATGGATACAGACTTCTTGTTAGTGTTACTAAAAGCCTTTTGCCAATTTATGTTTTCCACAGAATGACTTTGACCAGGACACTGCCTCCACCCTTGGCATTTGTTTGGCACATATCCTCAATGACGAATTTACGAGAAAAATATTTCCTCAAGAAGTAGACGACGAGTAAGTATTTAGGATTGTTATGTAATAACTGAATGAACTTAATGTATTGTGGCTGTATCAAAAAAAACATCAGTTTCTGTTTTGATTTTAATATTTTTGTTTTTATGACTATAGGTCATTGGAAGACTCAATAGGAACACCTTTGTTTGTGATGTTTAGGTAAGTGTTATGAAGTGAAGGTAAAAAAACAACTCATTACTGGTTGAAAATCAACACACACACCCTTGTTAAGTGTTTTATGATTTGTTTAGTTGAACATGAAGGATTAATACTTCCAATTAAATAGAACTTGTAAAACATCTGGCTTTGGAAGAAATATTTAGTTGAACATGAAGGATTAATACTTCCAATTAAATAGAACTTGTAGTTAGTAAAACATCTGGCTTTGGAAGAAATATTTAGTTGAACATGAAGGATTAATACTTCCAATTAAATAGAACTTGTAGTTAGTAAAACATCTGGCTTTGGAAGAAATATTTATTATTAAGTATTTTTGTTATGATTGTTCTGTATGTAGAATTTTTCAAATTTCCACTGGAATTATATATTCATGCAGGCTTTCTTGTTTGATGTGTGTAGTGATACTGAGATATAGACACAGTATGCAAACTAATATTGCAGTGGTCTGTGTCAAAATATAGCTTGTTATTGTAAAAGCTAATTATGCAGTGGTCTGTGTCAAAAGATAGCTTGTTATTGTAAAAGCTAATTATGCAGTGGTCTATGTCAAAAGATAGCTTGTTATTGTAAAAGCTAATTATGCAGTGGTCTATGTCAAAAGATAGCTTGTTATTGTAAAAGCTTATATTGCAGTGATCTGTGTCAAAAAGATAGCTTGTTATTGTAAAAGCTAATATTACAGTGGTCTGTGCCAAAAGATAGCTTGTTATTGTAAAAGCTAATTATGCAGTGGTCTGTGCCAAAAGATAGCTTGTTATTGTAAAAGCTAATTATGCAGTGGTCTGTGCCAAAAGATAGTTTGTTTCTGTAAAAACTAACTATCCAGAGATACTTTATGACACGTGAAAGTCCAAGAGCTTTTTTTCAAGAGTTCTTCTGCTTCTAGAAACCTATGCCTAACACCAGAAGAAGACCCAAGCAGACAACCTCAGTTGATGGTCCTTGCCGAGATTGCTATGCATCAGCCCAAACTTGGTTGCATGTTGCTATACTTTGTGAAGGCAAGCAAGATACAAGATACTAATATGTCATCGTACCGAGATTTAGTCAAGTCCCTTGATTCCAAGGACCTTTCATCATCTCTCCTGGATGATCTAAGGGTGAGATCAAACTTTGTTTTGTTTCACAAATTCTAGATGTAAATCTTGTTAAATCATGTAACGAAGTTTCAGTTTAATAGAAACTTTTTTCGTGTAAAAAATGAGAATTTTCTGACTTTTTAATGTCATCCAGTGTTGTCGTGAGATTCACAGGATAAAATTGTGTTTGGTGGGCAATACTCTGTTGCCTATTTTACCATTCCAATAACACATTGGTTCCCAACCCGTTTTCCAACTGAACACCAGTTTATACAGTCTTAACTTTTTAAAGTACTTTTGAGTTGCAGTTGGGAACCACTGCAATAAAACATAAAATATTAATACATTTGACCAATAAGAATCTAGTTAATACGATTTTCCTGATCTTACAAAATGGTGGGAATTTTGTGTGCAAAATATTCATTGAAAACTTTTACGTTAGTTTGAAAAAACTAGCAACGATTGTCACGTAATATGATGAAAAGTTGGTAGTTTGGTTAAAAATAAGTTCATATGGTATTAGTTAGAGAAAAAATTACAAATTACGTTTGTTGTTGTTGGGAGTAAACCAAAAATGGTGGAGTCAAAAATGGGATTATTAATTAATAAATTTGAATTACCAGGAAAAGCTTTATGCACAGTTTACAACAAACTGTGTTTCACAAAGTTCCTCTATAATCGTATGGAAAAACCAACTAGAAGTGTCTAATGTTTGACGAATTTGCTGTAATCTTAAGGGAATCGTATCTGTCAAATAAAAAAAAAAACAGACAGAAAAATATACTAGAGAGCCTCTGAATCTCCTTATATTTGTCAGGGGGAGCATGTCCACTGAATCTCCTTATATTTGTCAGGGGGGAGCATGTCCACTGAATCTCCTTATATTTGTCGGGGGGAGCATGTCCTCTGAAACTCCTTATATTTGTCAAGGGGGGAGCATGTCCTCTGAATATCCTTATATATTTCAGGGGGAGCATGTCCACTGAATCTCCTTAGCTCAAAATATTTCAAATTTTGTTTTTTCTGTGCCTATTCTTATCCCTGAAATCGAAACTTTAAAAGTTTGTGAAAACTAAAATGCAGAGCATCTTTGTGGATAATGTTAGAATGTCTAAACTAACCTGAAATATATAATAAAGTAATATTACCTTTCATTTACAACTTGGAAGTTTCTGGAACTGTCGAGTTTTTTTTTAAAGGTCTTTCCTTCAAACAGCTGATTTATCTATCGCTTGGCATTCCGATGTCATTTCTTGTTTTATTTTATCACAGATGTGCCAAGATGAGGATGTCCACATGTTTTGTTTTCTGATACCGGACATCTACACACAAGTGAGTGCCAAACATTCTTCTTGTGCTGTCTCAGTTTGTAATATATTTGAAGTGTTTTTCTAGGTAATTTATTTCTTTAAAATAGTCAAGCCTTATGTATTGTCAAGATTAGATTAAATTAAAACATAAATGTGACTAAACATTTATTTTAACTTGATGGTATTATATGCTTTTTTCCAATTTATTTAACTAACATTAATTGAGAAAGTGAAAGATAAAAGAATGAAAGAAAGAGGGAGCTTTTAGCATTTATTTTACAAAGTCAACAAACATAACTGATCCAGCATTAGGTTCACCACTGGTTGGTGAGACTTGTTCCTCTATACACCACCTAAAATAATTTTTAAACAACACATTATTGTGGTTAAAACCTTAAATAAAACTTGACTGGTGTAAGAAATAAAAAGTGGATCATTTGTTTAGTAAAAAAAAAAATTATAAAAGGTGAAACAAATTATTAAAAAAACATCCTGAAAATGTCTATAAATTGAATTTTGCACATGGAGCTACAACTTAACTAGAAATTTCAAATTATAAAGAAATTTCATGATGTCTAAGCAGAATATTTTTTGTCATATTTGATTTTACCTATTATTGTTGTGAGGGTACTTAATGAAAGGTCTCGTTTTTGATGAACAGGCTTGAATACTACAAAATTGTATTTATGAATGTCAGAAAAAATATATTAATGTATTTTAAAAATATTTTGTTGTTTTAATAACTTATTTAAATATTCAAAAATTATTCAAATTATTTAAATTATTTTTCAAAATTCAAAATAACTTAAGTAACTTAAAGAAAATTAAGTAACTCCCTCTAGTAGGAAGCTTTGCAGAGGAATTGATTAAATAAATATGAATATAATAATGCTTCTAGTTTAAAATCTAAAAAACTTTATTTTTTATCCATTTTGTTTTCAGTTTCCAAATATTGCTGTAGGAAATGCTGAACTTTTAAATCTCATAGTTTCATGTATAGATGCCTCACAAGTAAGGAATTTTTCTCGTGATGTTTTAAATTTGTTTTTTTAATCACCATGCTTAAAATTTACTAACCGTTTATGCTCTCATACATATTTGGGGATCATCTGTTTATTAACAATATTCTAATATCTATTCACATAGTATTATCACTATTACTATTTCGTTAAAATCAGAAGAAAAAAAAGTATATTCTTTTCAAAATATTAATCTGATATTTATGAAGTACTTCTTCCTTTTCTGATTAGAAAAGAAATAAATAAGAAACTTTTCTTCCTGTGTTTACATTTTTATGGAATCACCAGTTCTGTTTTAAGGAGTCAAGTCAGCAAATTTGTTCATTAAACATGGGCTTTTTACAGCTTCAAGATCTTATCTGCCACATTCTCCAAGGATATATGATTCTCTTTCGTAAAGAGTCCTTCCTTTCTGTTCTTAGTAAGTACCGTTTGCTTCTCTGTTTTAGCAATTGATATTCAGATGCAAAAAAAAAAAGGCCATAGAGATTTTAATTTAAAAGCTGTTTACCTAATAATTGTATATTGTTTATAGTGACTAGAAAACTGTCAAATAAGCTTTTGAAAAATATTTTAGGGAATTTTTTTTGCAATATGTAATTGCTCGAACCAGTGGAATATATTTTATGTACAAATAAAATCTGATGAGTGGTAGTTAAATATGCATATTTTCTTTTTTACCATTGTTTCTAGAATGATATGATTGACACCTCTACCACTAGAGTGCACACTTTTTTCTTTTGCTTTACAAAATTTATATGGCTCGGCATTGCTTGGTAGTTAGTATACTATGTCTGCGAATTCGTGGTTTGCAACCTGTTACTTGAAAAATGTACACAAAACTTTGGGTGAGCTGTAATAGTGGGGATGTGTAATGTGACATTTTGATCCCATCATTCCTTGGTAAAGGGTATCCTAAGAGTTGGTGGTGGGTGCTGTTGACTAGCTGTCTTATCTGTAGTCTGTCAGTTCAAAATTTGGGATGCCTAATGGCTCTTTTTTTCAGCTTTGCACAAAATTATGAAACAAACAAAACAGCCTATAACTAAAATAATGGTTGTTTTAGAATACAAACAAGATTCTTTTCTACACCCCCACCCCTTTTTTTTATTTAAAGTTTGTTATTTACTATTGCCTACAGCAGAAATTGATGATTACGGTAAGATTAAGTTTTTGAAAAATATTCAGTTAAAGCAATAGTCAAGCTGTTTTTTTGTGCCAGTCTATAGCTCTGCTTCCTGAGAAACTTGATGCATTAAAAAATAATTTTGTTACTTTAGATCCTTTTCTAACATTTTATTCTAGTACTTTAGATCCTTTTCTAACATTTAATTCTAGTACTTTAGATCCTTTTCTAACATTTAATTCTAGTACTTTAGATCCTTTTCTAACATTTAATTCTAGTACTTTAGATCCTTTTCTAACATTTAATTCTAGTACTTTAGATCCTTTTCTAACATTTAATTCTAGTACTTTAGATCCTTTTCTAACATTTTATTCTAGTACTTTAGATCCTTTTCTAACATTAAAGTCACCTAACATATCTTCCTAAATTTCTATCATCTATTAAATGCTTCTCTTAAACCCCCTCATAGCTCAGCTGTAAGTCTGAGGACTTGTACCAGTAAAAACAGGTTTTGATACCCATGGTTGGTAGAGCACATATAGCACATTGTGCAGCTTTGTGCTTAAATACAAACAGATAAAGTTTCTCTTCAATCAAGAGACATTTCAGCATGTTTATAGACTATTTGGTTGATATACTATTAAAGTAAAATTAATTTTATTTACTCATTTTATTTTATCTAGATGCCAGTCTTGAATGGGAGACTTTTGAGCAGTTCTGTTTGTGGCAACTTATAGCTGCCCACAACATCCCTGTTGACTACATCCTCCCAATCCTTCCCAAACTAGAGTACAATGGTAAGTTTAAACAGGAATTTTCAGTTGTTTTTAGTTAAAGTCCTTAAATGTCCCAAAAGTACTTACTAATTTCTCTTGGCTATTAAATTAATTAGTCTTCGTATGTTTGTGTTTACCATAGTAGGAGCACACTATTAGTGTGGCATATTATGACGTTTGACCCACAAATTGCCAACTTGTTATACTGTTCACTGCCAGTTGGATGAACATATTGCATCATATTGACTAATTTTATGTTTTTTTGTTTGTAACAACAGTCAAGTATGGAATTTACCGAACAAAATCGGTAATTTACTAGATAAATAATAAGGAATTCAAGCAGTAATTAGTTGGATTAATTGCTTATATTAACATTATTTTTGTGTCTCATAATTTTACTTTGATCACCAACAACCGATTTATTACATGGATAGTTTAGAAAAATATGTTCAAAAAGCTCACATGGCAATTATAAGATTATGTGCTGGTAGTTAGGGTGCTTGACTCACAATCTGAGAGTCAAAGGTTAAAAAAAAAGCTTTCTTCCATAGTTAAATTACTTTATTTTATTACATTTGTAATCTAATGAAGCTCTAATAAACATTTGATTGTAAGAAATAGTTGCTTGTGGATCATCTTTTATCCATTAAACATGTTTATGTTGAGCGTATTGAAAAACATTCTAATTGCTTTTTACAGCTCATGCAGAAGCCTTAACCAGTATACTGCTTATGTTGAAGAAAGAAAAGTAAGTGTCAACATTGAGTTTAATACTCTGAAATACATTCTTATGTTTTGTTTTACTTATTTTACAGTTATTGTAATCATAGTGTTTATTTATTTTAATATGCTAGGAAAACACATAAATGTTGGTCATCTTTTTTTTGTGTGTAATATTATTTTTCTGTGTTTTAAAACTCAAATGTAAATGAATTATAGTTGAAGTATGAAATTAACTGAGATATTTTGATAACGTAGACCTTCAGCTGAATTACTCAGGCATATCATGAGCCGGCAAGTGAGGCCTAACGACCATTTTGTGGTGTCAGTGCTGAAGTTTTGGTCTCAAGAACACGAAGAGAAACTTGCCGAGCTTGTTAGTTCTCAGCTATCTAAAGCCACATCTACACCAAACAAACGGAAACGGTGAGTTGACGTGGGATCGGAGGATATGAAGCTAATCATGTTAATATCGTAAAATTTTGCTAACTTTTTCAGCAGCAGTTGTCTGTAATTTAATTTGTTTTTTATTCTGGATTATGTGTTTCTTGTATCCAGGTTCTTATTCTAATTACAAGAGCTTAGGTTCTGGAAACAAGTTTGTAGCAAAGAAAATTTCTAAAGCATTGGTTGTTCGATGTACCTAAACTAAAACTTCATGATAGTTTTTATAAGATACTGTATAATGTATGGAGATGAATGAAGCATTTACCATTTGTGTTTAGTTTCTCATGTTGTATTTGTTTTTTCTCAAGGAACCAAGCCAATAAATCTCAAGCCCCATCTGTAGACCAAACGTTAGCACATTTAGACCAGCTCCGACAGCACTGTAAACAAACTTCGTGTAAGTGTTTATGCTATTCTTTCTATTTGTTGTCTTGTTCCAGTGGTTAGGGTACTTGTCTCGCAATCTGGGGGTTGCTGGTTCCAATCTGGTCCCCAGACATGCTCTTTCATTCATATGTGCGATGTTATGATGTGGCAGGCAATTCCACTGTTCATTGGTAAAAAAGAGTAACCCAACAGTTGGCGGTGGGTTATGTTAACTAGTTTGCTGTGGTTATTATCCATCTAGTTTGTTACTTCTAAATTATGGATGGTTAGCACAGATAACCCTCAAGTGTGTGTGAAATTCAATAGACAAACAAATGTTAACCTTTAATTATTGTTAGTAAATAATTCCCCTTTAGTGGCTCAGCATCATGTTTGGTGGCTCGTAATGCTAAGAATTGGGTTTCAATGCTTGTGATGGATACTTGCTTATTTCTTGCTAAGTATCCTAGAAAATATGATAATGTAGTATTATCCCATACCCTACTTTTGTTGGTTTAATGCTGATTATCTTAGCAAATGTTATCATCTGACATAAATGCCTTGTTGAATATCTTAAGAACTTTATGATGTTTAAGTCAAGTGTTGTTGATAAGTTAATATCCAGAATATTTTGTCATCTGATAATCACAACCACTTTCTTATTTTAAGCATGTTAAAAGTATAATCTGGAATTATCTACTTTAGTTTTTCTGAAAATCCCAGCCATAGAATAAAATGAAGAAAAAGGTGAAAATCCTGGCCAGTGGTCAGTTTATCTTCTTATAACTTTTCCTGGAAAGCAGCTGTGGGAATATTCTCGTTAGAGCTGGATTTTAGTTTGTTTTTTTTGGGGGGGGGATACATATTTTACCTTCTGTACTATGTTGAATTATTTTTTCTGTATTTCAGTCTTTAATCAAGAAATGGTACAAGCTTCCCTATTGCACGTTCAGATATCCTGCAGTGAAGGACAAAAAACTAAGTAAGTTTACTATGATAATTGTTACTACTTGTCGGGTAAGTTATTGTGAACTCCTATGCAGGTGATATTCATCAGTTTCAAGGTAGAAATAAGCTGGTTATCACTATCTCTACTATCTAATTTGGTATAAAAAAAAAAAAAAATACATTTTGGCTCAAAGATTGTATCAGAATTTTTGTTTAAATTCAGATAATGGTAATGAAAACAGTGACTACTGTTCTGTTTATAACTCTCTAACTGAAACAAAATTCAAAGTTCAAAAACAATCTTTTCCGACTGCATAAGCGGAGGATTTATAATTCAAAATACCCAAAGGGAGAATTTTTAAATCAAACTGTTCCTAGACTTGAAAAATACATTTTTTTTATAAAGATCTGAATGGTTATTACAATTCAAGTAACTGGCTTATGACAGTCTAGTACTTTTTGTAGAATTTAAAGAATTGATGACCGTCCGTGAATTACAAATCACGTGCGATACTATTTGAAAACTAAATAGAAAAAGGGATAGTGATGATAAAGAAAAACAGTTTTTCAAAAGGTTTTGTGAAAAGTCGAATCATATACTTATTTTCTGTTAATTTGACAATTTTTCTGTAAATTTTTTGACAGATTTAGTGATCTATTTGCTCTGACGGAAGAGCTGGATAGTATGAGGACAAACAAATCAACCCGTGGGAAAGGAAAAGGACCGAAAGGGTCCACAAAGTATAAGCAGCCAGTGGTCGGTGTAAGTGATGCTACATCTTCCGAGGTACGTTCTCATCTTCTTTCCTTACAGAACTAAGTAACAGGAAACATCTTCAAACCAACACGTATCTGGTTAACGTAAAGAACAAAGTAAAACTGATGTACTAACAGGATTGAAAATAATTTTAAAAATCAAGAAATTTGTGCAGTTTTATAAGAGAGATGAATTCAAATAAAAGGAAAATGAGACTCGCATTTTTTTTAAATTAATATAATTGATTCATAACTAAATTCAAACATTACATTTAAGAAAGTATTACTCATCGTTTTCAACATCAATTAATTGTGAATAAAAGTGGAAGAAAGGGAATACTTGGAATAATATCTTAATTAAAATGATTTCTAGGACTAAAGCTAGTTTTTCAGTGCATTGGGCCTGTTTTGTTTAGCCCCCCATTGACTCAGTGGTAAGTCCAATAACACAACACTAAAAACTGGGTTTCTATATCCATGGTGGGCACAGCACAAATAGCCTGTTGTGCTTAACAACAAACAGTTTTCTTTTTTCACAATCATTGTAAAGTTTCAGTAATTAGATTATTCAAGTGTTCACAACATACACCATACTGATGAGACTTTTTAAATAATTTATTTTCTTTTAACTTCAGGATGAAGAAACACTTAAACCAAAACCTCCACGGAAAAAGAAAAAAGCAGCTGTGGTTGGCTCTGACTCCGATTGAGATTGAATTGGCAGGAGAACTCCGACTTTCTGGAAGCTCTTATGCTTCTGACAGCCCAAAAGAATTCGTCGTGAAGGCGACAAGGATGCTCATTTTAAGATCAAACCCTCCTTTTTAAGGAGTGGCCACAAAATGGACTGTACACAACTACCGAAAACAGTCCAGCCGTACCCTTCTGTGTGAGGAGTGGCCGTACAATGGGCTGTACCAAAGCTTCCCAAGCAGTCCTGCCGTGGATGAAGGAGAAAGAGGTGACAGTTCAACGAGAAATTGCCATTCATCTGTATCGTGAAACAATAACTCTACAGACTTACACTATATGTCTTAAAGACAAGAAGTTTGAAACTGTTACCCTCTTTTGATTTGTAAAGGTGGTTAGCTTAGAAATACCATTATAGTTTAAATAGTTAGCCCGGATTGTAAGTTTTGTAAAAAAAAAAAAAGTAAGATGTGTAAAAATATTGTTCAATGTGTGACAGTCATAGAAAAGAAATTCCAGACATTTTTTTTATTGTGTGTGTGTTTGTGTATGAAGTTGCTTAGAACTACATCCATGACGGTAGTTTGAGCCTGTGGCCAAAGTGTTTGTGTTTATGTGATCATGCACGCATTTTCTCAGATGTAGATATCTCACTTAACACTTGCACAATAAACCCTGAACTGGACTCCAATGGTGATGAACGTTGGGAATCCTTTTAGTTACCCGGATTGTATATACTGTCTGCCAACCACAAAAACGTGGTTTTCTCAACCCAAATAAACTTTTTAAAAAATAAAAGATTTTATACAAAATGGTGTGACACTCTGTGTAATTGAAGAGAAGGTTCTATATATAAGAAATTGATATCACAATATTGGTGTTAGCAATGCACAATATCTAACCCTCTTAACAGAAAGAACGATATTAAAGACAGTAACTTACTAAATAAAAGACAGGCGATAACACTCTTAAGATATTTGTTCATTAAAGTGAATTACATTGATAATTCCATAAACAAAGTAATTGTATAACTACCGGAAATCAAAACCTAGACTTCGAGTTAATCTTCCTTTTTCTCCATAACCTGGGCAGTAGGAAATGACGTCATCATCCTATAAACGAGTGGATCGTAAAGTATTGTTTCATTTTATCATTAATCAAGATTGGCGTCTGAATGTTACGTTTCTAGGATCCTTTATTTGGAGAGGGGGGTGGGGTCAAGAGTTTATTAAATATATATGGCTTCGCGGCTGTCTCGTGCCGTTTCAAATTACTCGGTGTAGGAAAAAATTTAAAATATCAAAATACTAAATCGTAATGTTTTGAATGGGGAGGATAATACTAGGAGCTCTTCAAGGGGGGGGGGGGGTCTACCCCACGCACCGGTCCACGCGCCACCGGAAACGTTGCAAGTTAGCAATATGGTGTCGCGTAGGGGAAGCCCTAGTTTGCACAGGCCTTGATGGCCTACTGGTGTTCGGCAGTGAAGGTAGTAGATATGACATCACAACATTCACTTCACCACACTAAGCACGATGGTAAAAAACAGTGAAACGGTGTTATAATGGCGTTTTAGGGCTGGTTCGAAAATCGTTACATAAGTAACGTTTTGGTAATGAGACCAAGTTTGAATTAATATAAGTTAGCCTGGTGGTTAGGGCACTCGATTCGCAAGCTTAGGGTCAAGGGTTCGAATCCTTTACCCAAAACATGCCCTTTCAGCCGTGGGAGGCATTATAATGTAACGGCCAATCTCACTATTCGTTGGTAAAGAGATGGCGGTGGGTGGTGTTTATTAATTGCCTTTCCTCTAGTTTGTCATTTCTAAATTCGGGATGATACCGTGAATAGTCTTCGAGTAGATTCGTTTAAAATATAAAATTAACAAATATTTTCTAAAGTAATATCAAACTTAAAGTAATAAAAGAGAATATGAAGAAAAATCCGCCATTTTGGATATATATTATATATCTTACCAGGACTTTCAGTATTTGGGGGGGGGGGGGACGACAGAAGTTAAATTAAGTCACTCAATAAAACTTGGTGTCTATACGATAAAACACCGCGCCTATTGTTAGTTTCAAATACACGGAATTGAAGACGCAAAAATGGTCACGTTAAATGTAAAACCGTGATCACCAGGTGGCGTAAAATATATAAACTAAGTTCGTTACATATTACAGAATCGATTAACACCATACTGAGAAGCATAGTTTCCAGTGGTGTTAAAGTTTTAATTTTTAAACTTCTCCCTAAATCGTCTGGTGGTTGGGGGCATATTTGATGACGGAGTTCGAGTGCCTTTAACAACCAGTATGAAGGGATATTGGAAATGAACGGAAGTCGGTTTCTTCCTTATTCGTGTGCTAAAGGTTAGCGTGCTCGGACTATGAATCCCATCGTTTATTACACGTGACCTATTGCCGCGGAAATGTGGGTACGTTATAAGAATGACATTCTAGTCTGACAATTCGGTCGGACAAGAGTTGTCGGCAGGTGCTGTTAAACAGTTGCTTTTCTTCTAGTTCAAAATTAGGAACAACAGGGGGCCTTTGTTTAACTTTGCATGAAATTCTGAAACAAACTGATTAGCCAACTTCTTAGAACAATCATCTTTCTTGAAACACCAATTTTGATCTGTTCAGAAGAAGCGGCTGTCTCTTACTGATCCATAGACGCCAACAAACAGAGGAGTAACTGTGCCCCAGCAATCGGGAGGGGGCCTGACAAACTTAAGAGTTGTCGACAATAGGATAGAAGTACAGTTTTAATTTGTTTGAACTAAAAGGATGTTGTACTATTCTATCAAGTTGGTGATCAGCCAGAAACATAACTACCATTATAGGGATATTGTCACGTCTCTGGTCGTTTGGTAATTTCCGGTATAAATTCTTCCCGAGGATGAAACTTCAGCGATACAAGTCCTTTCTTAAATAAAACTAGTTTATTCTTTCTCAATA